CAGGGACATGGGAACAGGGATGGGATAGTGGGGTCAGTGATGTGGGAACAGGGATGGGATAGTGGGGTCAGTGATGTGGGAACAGGGATGGGATAGTGGGGTCAGTGATGTGGGAACAGGGATGGGATAGTGGGATCAGCAGTGGGACAGGGATGGGATAATGCAGTCAGTGACATGGGGACAGATGGGATAGGAGGATGGGGACAGATGAGCAGAGGGCCTGCTGGGCTGGGCGCTTGGAGGCCATGGAAAGACTCCTTGCTGCCACTCTGGGACCCCTCCCACACAGCAGTGACAGGAACTGTGCAGAGGCTTCCCTAGATCCTTCCACAGCCAGGCTGGGCACTGGGATGGGATCAGAGCTCAGGTAGGGGACACATGAGGGGCTGTGGGACAGCAGAAGAGCAGGGACATGTGGGCTACAGGGGACACATGGGGACACCCACAGGGCTGCAAGCCCCCCACCCCCAGCCCCTGCTCACGCTGCTGGAAGGCATTGAAGATGTTGATGAGGGTGAAGTGGTCCCCGTTGGGGTGCAGCAGCGCCCGCCGGCGCAGGGCCACGGCCTCCTCCAGGTGCGTGGACAGGGGCACGAAGCAGGGGGACGCTGGGGGTGGACAGGGGGGTCACTGTGTGCCCCCAGCACCCTCCCAGCAGTGCTGGCTTCTGAGAGCCACCCCACACCCCCAGACAGTACCTGTGAGCATGGCRGCCAGGCTGACCATCTCCTCCACGCAGTCAAACTCGCAGGACGCGATGAGGGCCTTGGCCAACTGTGGGTCCAGTGGGAACTCCGACATGATGATCCCCACCTCCGAYAGATTCCCGTCGTCATCCAGGGCTGCCAGGTAGTCCAGGTCTTCCAGCGCTTGCATCAGTGACTCRGGGGCTGGGGTGGGACATTGAGCAGCTTTGTCCACTCTGTCCTGCACCTGCCAGCCCCCAGTCCCTCCCCAGGGACAGCCCAGGACGCAGCGACGGCCACAGCCATGGCTGCCCCATCGTGCCCCTCTGCTCCAGCCCCCTTTGCCACGCCTGGCCCCCACGGGTTCTACCTGGGCGGTCGAGGAAGTCGCACTGGCCCATGTCGGCGATGTCCAGGCGCTTCAGCAGCAGCACGAGGCGGCTCAGGCTGGTCTCACCGACGTGGGGCGCGGGGCTGGGGGGCAGGCGCTGCTCGAAAGCCTCCGAGTACAGGCGCAGGCAGGTGCCTGCAGGACAGGGGCCATCATGGGGGGCAGGGAAGGGCAGAGGCACAAGCRCATGGGGACAGCTGCCAGGCCAGGRGCTGCTGGCGGTCCCTATGGGGTGGAACAACAGCTCTGAGAAGGGACAGTGGCACAGGGGACTCACCTGGGGGGCTGCCAGCAGCTCGCTGCATGCGTGACTCGGCCTGGCTCCGGCTGATGGGCCGCAGCACCTGCGACTCGGCGCGGATTCGAGGGTTGTACACCTGTGGGAGGATGTGATGGGGACACTGCAGGGCACCCCTGCCATCCCCCAAGGGCCCTCACTGCCAGCGTGGGGCCACCACTGCCAACCCAGCCCCCTCTTTCCAGCCTGGGAGGATCCCACTGCACCCCAGCACAGAACCAGACCCCACCCGTCCCCTGCTCCACTCACGCTACGCAGCTCCAGCCCCGAGTCGATGACGAAGCGCACGGTGCCCAACGAGAAGGACGAGTCCCCGAGCCAGTGGGTGACGATGACRCGCCGCTCCCGGCTCTCCTCGGCTGTCTCGTAGAGTCGCTGCGCCGCCCGKCCCACGCCGGGGTGCAATGGCAGCACCAGCAGCGGGCCCAGCGCCGGGCTCAGCGCCATGGCCTCCGTCTGGATGGCACTGCAGCACTCTGAGATCTCCTGGGCAACGACAGGGGGGCACAGGTCACCACCTGCAGTGTCCCCACCCTGGGTCAGGGCGCTGCGCTGTGCCCTGTGCCCACATCCCAGCACTCATGGCCCCTCTGGAGAGGAGTCCCTGCCATCTTCAGGGAGTGCCACCCCAAACCTGTTCCCCCTTCAGCCCACCTGCTCGCTGGCCAGGAAGATGAGGACRTGGCCGGGCTCCTGGCGCCGGTGGATGTCCAGCACGGCCTGGCAGGCGGCGGCCACGCGCCCGTGGGCCGGTGGCTCCCGGTAGAGCAGCAGCGGCGGGGAGCTGTGCCCCGGGACCCGCACCACGGGTGGATCCCCGCAAAAAGCGCGCAGCCGCGGCTCCAGGGYGGGCGAGGTGACCACCACGAGGCGCAGGGCCGGGCGCTGGCGYAGCACGTCCTTGAGCAGCCCCAGCAGCGCGTCCGTGGGCACCGTGCGCTCCTGCGCCTCGTCCAGCACCACCACCCCGTACTGCCGCAGCAGCGGGTCCGACGTCATCTCCCGCAGCAGCATCTCGTCCGAGCAGAACCTGCCGCGGCCCCGCCCCGTCAGCACGGAGCCCTGGCCGGGGGGAACGCCTCACCCCGTCCCCGTGGCAGCCCCCACCGCTCTCCAGCRAGGCCGGGCTGGATTAAGGGATTAGGCGGAGCTCAGCGGGATTAGGGTGCTGCGCTCCCGGCGCGGGCCCCGCCGTCCCTGCCGTACCTGAGGATGGTGTCGGCGGTGCAGCAGTCCTCGTGGGGCACGCAGTAGCCCACCTCGTGGCCCAGGTTCAGGTCCATCTCGTCGGCCACGCGCAGGGAGAGGCTGAGGGCGGCCAGGCTGTGGGGCTGGGTGCAGGCCACCAGCCCGTGGGCGAACTGCAGGGACAGGGCGTACTCGGCGCACCACTGTGGGATCTGCGGGGACAGGGAGCGGGTCAGCGTGGACATGGGACTGTCCCCTCCTGGCTGGGCCCCTCCAAAGRGCACAGGGACCCTCCCCAAGGATCTGACTGCAGATYTCTGGGGCTRGGGGCWGTCCAGAGGCACTTGCASCCMRGSMRGRWSWTYCCYTCC